GAAAGAAAGAAAGAAAGAAAGAAAGAAAGAAAGAAAGAAAGAAAGAAAGAAAGAACCATCCAACCAACCAACCAACCAACCAACCAACCATCACCATTCAAGCAAGGAAATGTATACTGCGATCCTTCTTAGAAGACAGTCAGCTCCAACAAACTCTGTGGGATTTGCTGTATAGTAACTGTACACAGAGTATCTTTATTGCCAAGAGATGCTACGGAAACACAGAAAGTCGCCTGCTACTGCATCATAGCAGTAGCTTGTTTAGCTCAGTGTTGTCAGTGCAGACCAGCAGAGCCTCTCCATTCTTACCGAGGAAAATCTGGGATGTTCTGCATGTAAACGAAGCTTTTAACTAAGCTGTGGAGCCACTGTTACACATTGTGAAATGTACATAGCCTTTTTTATATAGAATTGTTATTAGTTCATTTTAATATGGATATTTATATTTTTATTGTTTTTACTGTTTTGGATTGTAATTGTGAGCCGCCCAGAGTCGCCCTCTCTGGGGGAGATGGGCGGCATATAAATTTAATCAATCAATCAATCAATCAATCAATCAATATAAATTAAAACCGTACACCTACAATGCGCACAAAAATGAGTTGTACAATCCAAATTATAGGAATGAGCTGTACTTGCATATTTCCTCTGTGTATACTTTATTTTGGTTTGGTTTTGATGGAAGCTAAATGGCTAATGGAAGGCTCTGAAGCATACACTCTCCCACCATCCCCAGAATATTTTATATCTTCTTCAGCCAGCTGACAGGCTTAGCAGGCATGATTCACAGATTTTATACAAACCTTCACAGCCATAAGAGCTAGAAACTTAGGCAGTTGTTTCTGAGACGTGAAAGCTGGGATTCTCTGAATGCTTAAGTCTATATTTAAGGTTATAAGATGAGTGCCCCCACTGCTTCCTTGGAATATACAACTCTTGTTACAATACTAGAATTTTAAATCAACTTGCTCAAATGCCTGGAATTGGACAGTCTGCTACAGGAACCTTCTTCCATCTTAAAAAAGCAACAGCAAAACTTATAGATGAAAGATACATTCACGCAACCATTCAAGCTTTCCAGTAGGGCTCTCTGTCTATGGCACATTCCCTCCCCCAAACGGCTTGCCTGGTACCCACATTATATTCATTTCAATGCCACGTGAAGACCATTCTGCCTCCACTGGGCACTTTAAAAGTCAATCTTAAAACTTTAGCATCGTTTTAAAACTTTAGCACTGTTGTTTTTAAACTGTGATCTTTGTATTCTAATCCTTCTATACCTGAGATGTTGTAGGATTTTAAATAATTTTAAAAAAAATTAATTTTTCATGCTATTCCATATAGCCTCCTTTTGACCTGTTTTAATGAATTACACACTGCACAGAGAATTTCTATTCCTAAGGAGTTTAAGGATACAATAAATAATAATTCAAATAAAAATTACCAGTCAAGTTTTGGAAATTTTATGGCAGAAGAGTGAACTCACCCCTTCCCAAATGTCGACAGATCAGGGCCTGGGCCAGTATCATCTGTCCACACCGCAGCATGCAGCCCCAGCCGGCATCTGAGGAAGGACCTGTACCACCTTGGGGGTGAGAACCAGCACACTTAGGAGGTAATGAAAGAAGGAAGCCCAAAATCTGAGGCTTCCTTGAATCAAGAGCCCATGTTTTACCCCAGGAACCGAAAGAACCTATATCTGCCTACTGCCATTTGTGATCCGATTACTTCTTAGCCTGATGAAAAGGCAAGGAAGAAGATCAGGGGCATTCCCAAACACAAATGGGAAAGCTAGCTCTTCACTTAAGCCGTGCTCCATGATTCCATGAATTTGTGACAGTGTCAGAGACATCAGCTGTAAAAGCTGTGCTGTTTTGATTTTTAACTATATGTTTCCATGAGACATCCCTGTCACAGGCATATCTTTGTTTGAAAAATAAAGACATCCCCCCCAAATAACTTGGGGAAAAAAATCCCACCCCACCATGTACACGATGCAGCCACACTCACTTTACATCATTTTCCAACCCACTGCACGACTTCCACCCATTTACCCCCAAATACATTTAAGCAGAGTTCCTGGCCATCAAAAAGTTGCTCTTCTCTGATGTAAAAGAGAGGGTGGAGATGATAAACTCTTAAATGGAAGGGGGAAAGGCAGCTGCAGCAGTCCCAATACTTACCCCCCTCAGAAAGAGCCAGGATTCAAATGATTATTTATATCACTCAAGGCAACTGTGTCAGACTCCAAAGGTTTCAGTGGATCCAGGCCTAGGGCTAAAAGCACAAGGCCTGTTCTCCCTTGACCAATCCTCCCCCAAGGACAAGCAGATGTAGCCTTGACCTTTTAAAAAACACCCACTAAGACATGCAAGAGCTCTTTTTCAGAACAAGTGGTTCATTCTCTTATAGAGTTCAGGTTAAGAGAACAAGAGGGGCAAAACCCCACTAGCCCAGAAAGCAAAGCTTACCAATGGGTGAAAATTTTCTTCTGTAGGTAAACCAAAGACGAGAACTGATGTCCGAAAGAAGTTTAGATTTTTCTAGAATTAGAAAAAGTAACAAGTTAACACAAATGCTGTATTCATGACTTCTTTATGCACAATTTTGGAAAACCCAGACACTACCAATAATATAAGAATGGTTGTTAAAACTGATGGAAATGGTAGAAAATGATAAACTGACTTGCTTATTAAAAGAAAACTCAAATAATTATTACCTTAAAGAA